AGGATCTCTCCAGGTACTCTGATTCATGTTATATATTACTCACTAAACATGTCATAGACAGACTGCACTAAATATTTCCAAACAGGTAAGCTTTAAAAAAAAACCACAATGACCAGCATATGGTAATTATCTTTATTAGTTGTAAAGCAGAAAACCAATTTTATGTAGTGCAGTTTTCTGCATTTCTATGCTGGAGTTTCCCTCTAGTAGTAAGTTTTTCCTATAAGCATATTAAATAGCACAATATCTGTATTATTTTTAATCTCTTTGCGAGATTATAGCATGAAAAAATGGCTTCCATATGTTTGTAATAATGCATGACATTTCCTGGTTCCATCCAATCATTGCACTGTGTAATTTCTACATTATCTCCTGTCTAAGAGCTCTTGGGACAATTCGTTGCACCTCAAATTGGCCACCGTATTTCAGTGGTTCACAACAAAGACAGAATACACAACTCTATATTCATAGTTGACAATGCAAGTGTCAAATGTTACGAGCAACAGTACTGCTCTCGCCAGTTTGTTACAAGACAACTAATGACAATGCTGTGTCCAGGTCCTTCAGTTGATACTCCTAAAGACCCCAGTCAGTCACTTCTCGCCATTTGTATATTATTACTGCTGCTGCAATATCTTTGACTACTGCATAGCATCGACATTCTGAACCTTTAATGAATTGATATGTTCTCATTGTTTGGCAAAATAATACATTTGTATTTCCATCCTGCACAAGATGATGTGATGTAATGAAGTTTTAATATTGCAGCATCATTACACAACACACACTCATACTTTTCAGATGTTCTGTAGTTCATAATCTATTTCAGTAAGGCATGATATATTCAAACAATGAACTGCCTATCATACAAGTAGTAAAAGTAATAGTGCTAGACAAATACTATAACTCTGGCAATTATTTTTTGTCATACAGGATCAGCATTTCAGAAGCTATTAGCATACAGTTCACATACACAATTTCACAATTAATACCATCCTGTATCTTTGATAATTCCATAAATGAAGCTCACCTGTCAAAAATGTGAAACTGGTAGCTAATTTCTGCAGTTGGTACATCCATATGATTGCAATATCGAAACCAAGATCATGGATAACAATTGTAGTTCAATGAAGATAATATCAAGACAAAGTCATAGATGTGCCTCTTTTCTCACAACTAGTTTTCTCACCATTTTCACCAACATTTGTGTGAGTTGGCTGAAGTGATTACTTTTCTCAGAGTGCCTAATACAAATGTAAGACAAACAAGGTCTTGGCAGCTAGAGTGTCAATTATAACTTCATGTCCATGTATTAGTACAGGTAAATATCTTATGATGTCAAACTCATAGTAGACCAAGTTAGTCACTGTTCTTCTGGGTGCAAGTTGACTGGCACAACTGCCTGAGATAGTGACCAGACCCAATTCAGGTTCTACTAGTTTAAACTAGCTGGTGCAGCCCCTGCCAATATTTATTTTGGTCCTTATACATTTTCCACAATATTGGCCTGGATATCATATGAAACTGCCTTAAAGAATACAAAATCCACCAGTCATAGTTAAATCAGAGTCCTGTCTTTCATGCTCTAGGCATCTTCTTGAGGGTTTCACTTGCTGAAAAAGGTAGTGAAACCTTGGAAACTAGACCTGGGAATCTCTGTTGTCCCATAAGGAACCATGAGTGGTTATTAAAAACCTTTAGGTTGTTTTGGAGCTAAATCAGCTACTTTAGTAGCCATTGATTTCAACTTTTTCTTCTGCTCCAGTACATAGTTCAATATATCCACCTTAATCCATGTTGCCACTGAAACCAGTTTATTCAAAGACAACATTTTATCCAGACCAATGTGTGGAACCATACAGGTTTGTTAATTAGCTTCTTTATGAACTTGTCAATGAAAAACATATCTTGATCATAGGGTGACACGTGTGGGTAGGCCTTTCCATGCAATCTACTTAGATTTTCTAGATTACTGGTCGAGTTTTCCTTTTGAACTTCGAACTTTTCCATAAGGATCACTCACTTCTTTTCAAGGTCACATCTGCAGAATAAAATGCTATTTACTATGTCCCAATCTTGGAGTTATTCCTGGTCCAAGTTCTCTTAGGCAATGAGCTCTGAACTATCATCAGGTGCTTAAATTTCCTGTCCCCGAGTCTAACCATTCCGGCAGACAATCTCAGAAATAGCACAGAGCGTCATAGGCATGGTTATTAGCCTGTACAATTACATAACTCTAATCAGTGTTTACTGGATAGTACAATATCCTTTTTAACAAGAACACCCGAGATAAAATCCCAGGTCCTGCCACAACATACAGTCCTCAGAAGTTCCTTGAAGATGGAAGCATACAATCACGCAATATTAATATTCATTAAATAAGAAAATATGAAAAATAACAGCTAATTTGTAATTCGACTAAGGTTATCATATAGGCTACTAACCATTACAATGATTGATATCCAACACAACCTTGCACTATGTAGTCAAAATCCTCCTTTGCCATCCCTCTTAAGTTCTGGAAGGTAAATGCTGCCATCATCATCATCTTTATTAGTTTCTGGCTAATACAGTTAGTGCTAGAGGAAGGGGGACTCTCCTCACCTTCTTCAATTCCAGTAACAGAAGAACAAACATATTAACGAATGTTAATTTTTCGAGTAAGGCCAGCAGCAGGAAGCTATGGTGCATAGATATGTGTATCATCATTGTACTTTGCGTCAATTTCAGTTGCGAGATGCAGTCTCGGGATATCTTCAAAGTGCCTTGCTGGCCTGAAATCTTAAAGGATTCATAGGATTGCAATGAAATGCTGGCTTATCCACCTGATGGTGACATAGCTTTTCCTGGTGGGCATTTCTAACCATATGCACATTATCTTTTTCTATCTCTCTGATAACAGGTGAACCTAAACAATGCCTAGCAATGCCTAAGCTAGTTAACAAACATCTTGGAGTCTCATAAAGACAACCACAGTTTGTCTTGGCATTTAAAGACTGGTCATTATCATCGTGATCCATTCCGTCACTGCAACCTTATTGTGATGTATATTGGAGATAACTAGTAGTAGTAGTCGAATTGCAGCACTGGAGTTTTCCCTATCCATCTTCAATTCCTTGGTTCTGGGGATGAATTGAGAATGTTTATGTAGCTCACACTATGACTGGCAAAAGCCTTTGATCCGAGAGAGGGCCTTTGGGAGGTTTTCTTCAATTTTAGACCTTTTCCCCACCACAAATTCTGCTACTTTCTCTTCACGTGGTCTTAGAAGCTACCTTTCTATGATCTTGAGTTATATACTCTAAAGTAACCAAAGAGCCAAATGGGACAAAGAAACATGTTCAGGTAAACCCAGTAATAACAAAAACAAAATGTAACTTGAGAACTCAACCTATTGTATTCACAGGTAAAACTTTTACCAACAGATACGTATTAAATATCACCGCAATGAAAAGGATTGAAAGATTTATTTGCAAAAGAACAAAATGAACAAAAAGGGTAAAAGAAAAGCTCAACCATAAAAGATGGCACTCTACATTTATTACCGTTGAATTAAAACTGAATAAGGCACATGACACTTGCGTCCTTAATGTCCGACTAATAGAAATTATTATGTTGATTTTTCTCAAAAGGAAAGGAAAAAACTGGTAAAGCTGGCATTCTGTTTCTATGTTTCTTGTTACGTAGATATACTTTTAACTATATTATTTCACTATTTCTTCAGTAAAGGAGCTATTCATCACATGTGAAAATCCTAAAAGAATATGGTAGAATGTTTTTAAAATATAAAACGACACAGCGCTACATGAATCCTATATTCTAGCAAATTTCAGCAGAATTTGTACAGCAATCGTGTTCCGTATAAGCTTTAAACTGCTTGTTAACAAGAGCTAATATCATTATTATACAGAAATAAAACGTGCTTGGGCTTCAATTTGATTCGAGCCAGCTTCAGTGTTATGCTTAAACAGTTTGAACGTTAACAAACTGTATGTAAAATACATTTTCAGTTACAGAATACTAAAACTTTTCCATCTTGTTAAATTCCTATTTTAAACAATACACTACTACATACCACACTTTCTGTTTCTCTCATTAATTTCGTTATGTTGTTCTTCTCTTTTTCTCTAACAGCATAACTTCTATTCCATGTTATATTATCACTTCTCAGCATAGATCTCTTTCACCTATCTTTTTAATAATCTCAGTTTTGGGTTTGAAGTTTTTCATTACACATTACTATTCTCCAAATTGCTCTTTTCATTTTTTATCAACAAATCATTGTTACGTTTTCTATTTTGTGTGTGTATCATTCTGTGATAAACTACTACATATTCAGGTTATTCTCTTATTTTCTTTCCAACAGCATCACTTTTCCTATCCCGTTTTATTGTTCCTGTTATTCAGTTATATACCACGTCTCCTTGTCCCCTCTCTACCTTTCTTTCATTGATTTATATGCTATCGTTTCTTAAAATTTTACACTTTCTCATTATTGACAGTATACTTCAACATGTGTATTTTCTGTTTTCTTGATGAACTCTAAGGTTTCTCCTTCGTATTGTGCTATCCTTTTTTTTTCTAAATGATATACTACCACAGTTTATTTACTTTAGACAGGAGTAACGCACCATGAGGTTATTATCTTTTAACAAACTCTTATTATTGAATTATTGCCTTCATAGTTATTGTTAGATAAAATTCTCAATGGTACTTCATGAGCTTGAATTTGTTTTAAATAACATAAAAAGTTTATTTTAACATTCCTACATAGAATTCTTATTTAAGTATTTAAATAGACTAATTTACGTAATCAAACAGTACTAAGTGCTCTAGATCGTGTTTCTATACTTAAGTATATTTTTATAGAAGAAATCTTACCAATAACCAGTAAAGCGAATCTTTAAATATGACTGTGGTTATGAAATAAAGCTTACCATTAACCATTGAATGTTGGATCAAATATCTGAATCTGACTGTTTCTATAGAATAAAGCTTACCGATAACCAGTGAAACGTGGAGCAAATCTTTGAATCTGACTATGAAACTGTTGTGGACTAACAGCAGTGTCAAAGTTACTAGTTTTCCACATGGACTGAAGTAGACTGGAGAATGCTAAAAACATAACCAAATATCATAAATGTGACATAATATGGCTAAAATACAACATTTAAAGCATTAAATAACAATAAGAAAAATATTGATAAGGTTATGCATCGAGCTTAGTCACACTTGAAAAGAATAATGTTCCAGATCCCTGTTAAATGTGGAACTAGTTCCTCCATCATCCATCATGTTCAGTCTGATAGCTATGATTATAACTACTGGTCAGCACAACAGTTTCCATTGCAACGTTTTTCTGAAGGATGACGAGATTAACCTAGGATCACACATCTTGATAAACCTTTCTCGGGTCCTTCATTGTACTTGAGCATCAGCTTACAAATCCACATTCAGCAGACCAAAGACACTGTTAGATACACACGGCTTTTGAAGTTTAAGGTAGCATATACCCTTTACATTGTGGTATCTAGGTTTTGGCCTTTCTTATTAGAAAAGACATTTTCATACTATGAATTTTGTATGAAAATATATTGAAATAGGTACAAAGACATTACCACTGTGGCTGACTTGCATATTATTAAAATATACAAATACAAAAGAAATGTGTTATGTTTCTAATAACTTCTATAAACATGACTGAATACTCCTGAAAATGGGTCCAGACTTTTATACGATGTGACGAATAAGTCTGAACTAAGAAACATTCTGTAAATTAATTCCAGGTCAAATTACGGAACTAACGAGCATGCCCTAAGTAGGTCATTCAATACACACTATACGTACACTAATAATCATATTTATACCAATTATGAAGTTTATATCATAAACAGATCTGAAGTTATGAGTTAAAAACCACTATAAGAATGTCAATTAGCCACAGCGGTAACGTTATACAACACGTGCCACAATATGTCTCTGTGCCTATTTCAATATATATTCATAGAAAAAGTATAGTATGTTTTTCTGATAAATTGGCCTAAACCTAGATAACACTGTGTAAAGGGTATATGCTACCTTTATGAGAATGTTATGGTTTAGATAATAAATATAGAGTGATTGTTAAATTTAGTTATCTTAAGAAGTGATAATTTATCACAGGTTTGTTTATGTAACTGTTTTCAACTCATACATTGTGTAGTTCAATTGTTGTCAATTGTTGATTATTATATTACCATCACTTTACTAGAATCTTCTAAGTTTTTCTCATTGTTTTAATTGAGTATTATTGCTTCATAATATCGTGTAGTGTGTAGAACGTTCTAGTTCTTTGTCGAGCTATAAATATGCATACAAAATGTAATTCGGGATATATATATATATAGGTTGCGTGACCGTTAGTATAGCCATCCTACTAACCCCATGAAGGATCTGATTTGCTGCTTGGTCATCAAAGCTGGTGTATCTTGTATGTGGGTTAGGTTACTTTCTTCCATGGCTATCTGTTGGTCGCCCACCTTTTGTCCAATGAAGTCCAGCACAAAACAACTGAGGTAGCACTTAAATGGTCATATCTTCTACTCCCATTCACCCAAACAACTCTCTCGGTTTCTTCCCATCTGGCTGGGTGACAGAATGTCGTTCACATAATGCTCGATGTTGGTGGTTTTGTGCAACATCTTCCTCATCATGTGGTTGAATGTTGCTGCCGAGTTGACTAACACAAACAGCGCTCTCTTGAACTGATAGGATCTGTCTGATATCACAAAGGCTGTCTTCTCTTCAGATTCTGTCTCCATTGGGATCTTCCAATAACCTTTACTGACGTCGATCTTGGTAAAGAACTTGGTCCCGTCTTGTTTCGTCATGACAGTCTCTGGGTTGCCAAAAGGTTCGGAGTCGAACTTCGTCACGAAGTTGAGCTTCTGGAAATATATGCACAAGCAGTTTGAGCCATCCCCTTTCTTCACGATTATCACTGGTGAACAGTAAGCTAAGTTCAAAAGCTCAATGATTCCAGCTTCTAGCATTCTCGACTTCTTGCTTGATCATGTCTCACAAAGTATAGGGCAACTGGCAGAGTTTCACTTTGATTGAATCCTTGGTCGTGGTATCGATATGTCTAGCCTGGTCTATCTGTGAAGACATCTGCATACCGGAACAGTAGATATTGTAGCTCTTTCTTCTGCTTGACAGTCAGTTTTCACTGATGTTGACGTCTTTGTCTGTTTCATCTCCACCCAGTGGTCTTAGTTCTAGTATGTTCTACGAAAAGCCACCATCTTCTGGTTCTGCTTCAATGATAGCCATACTTGCAGTGTCCATCTGTGGCTCAACAGCTGCACCTGTTAGGTCTTCTTCCTTCTTGAAGTACCTATTCAACAGATTAGTGTGGTATATATTGGTCTTCCCGTCCACTTTCACCTTATAGTTCATTCTGTTGACCACTTCCTGTACTTCAAAAGGTCATTTCCACTGCAGGGTGAGTTTATTGCCTGTGGGTAGCAGAACCAAGACCTTATGTCCGACCCTGAAACATTGATCCGTGGCCTTATTGTCATAGAGGTGCTTCTGACTGCCTTGAGTTGCATACAAACGTTATTGAGCAAATTGGTAAGTCTCCTCCAGTCGGTTTCTGAAGTCTAGCATGTACTGATATGTGTTCCTTAGTTCTGACTCTTCTTCTTCTGTCCGCAATTCTTTCAATATCTGCATCGGACCTCGTACTGTTCTTCTGTACAGTAACTCAAAGAGTAAAAATCCTGTACTCACTTGTGGGACTTCTCAGTAAGCAAATAATACTGCCTGCAAGAACCTATCACAGTCACGTGGTCTTTCTTGGCACATATTCTTCAGTATGCTCTTTAAGACTCCAGTGACTCTATCACAAAGTCCATTACATCTGGGGTTGTATGCGGTGGTAAAGAGTTGCCTAGTGTTGATAAGTCTGCACACATCATGCATCATTTCTGAGGTAAACTGGGACCTTGTGTCAATGAAGACTTTTGGCTACTTTGCAGAACACTTCCAGGAGGGCTTCTGCTACTCGCTCTGTCTCTTTCTTCAGTAATGTTGCATAGTCGACTACTGTCTCATGTACTAATTACCTATATCAGATACAGATGCTAGTGGTCTGATCAAGTCCATAGCTTCTCTGGTGAATGGTTCTTCCATGAGAGGCATCTCACCCATTCTTGTGTTCGACTTTTTTCCAGGCACTGTCCCAAAGTTTCTGTAGCGAAGGGTCTTTCTTCTATGCTTCCTTTAATTCCCATAAACCTACATTTGCGATGTCACCTTTCGACACTTGCAGGAACTTGATGTCTTACTTGCTTTTCTTTTCTTGAGCTCTTGTGGTAACTGCAGATGCCTCATCATTCTCCTTTCTGTCTAGTTCCTCCAAACGTCTACTTCCTGGCATATTGCCAATTACCAAAATGTAGATTGATGCCTTTATACACATGGCCTCTAGGACTACCACATAGTATGAAATGTCCACCGTATTCTTGCTATAGGAAACTTTCTCACTTTCCCATCAATCAGCACACACAGATGTACCTTGCATGTCATCTGGTCATCAGATAGTAGCCTGGTTCTCACTTCTGCACTGCTACACCCAGTGTCTCATAGGACTTTCACGTTTTTGTCTCCGACATAGCCTTCCCCAACCAGCATATTGTGGTTTGTTGGCACCTCTTGATGTTTGTCACATGTTCGATTCACTGCCGACACTGTTGACCCGTTTGTTAACTTGAGATGACTATCAATCAGGCACTGTTTAATCATGGTGGTAACACTTCCACCTTGTGATGAATTTGACGAATTGTTTGTATTTTGTTTCTTTTGGCAGCAACATCCATTTTGACAGTAACTTTATTCTATTTTCTTGCAAGCACCATCTTTGTATGTAGCTCCAGCTGCTGTTGCTTGTGAGTGTAGCCATAAAGAGCCTATAGGGGTGATTTTTAAAGGGAAATGATCACAAATTGTATTGTAGTAACAGTGCATAGAAGAATATTTCGTCTTTTCAATTGTGTTCTAAAGTAATTAAACCAGCCTGTGTAGACTTTGATGAAAAGAGACAATTATTTAAAGCTCTGGATACATGTGTGATCATATACAGTGAGACGAACATTTGTATATATATGTTTGACTTGTTTTAAAACAAGTAGACTGTGTGCTTTGTTTAATATTGAAATGTATCGCCAACAAGTCTCACACACATATTCTATAAAGTGTTAACTTCTGGTTTGTGAGCTTTCATCAACTTCAGTATTTCTAATTATTTTGTTAAAAGTTCCAAAATATATAATGGCTGGAGACGGCTTGAATGGGTAATGAAGAAAAACTTTAGTATGAGTTTAACATAACAGCAAATGTACAAGGTTTTGTCATCATCATATGCCAGTTTAATCGTAATGTTTTTCGGAGATGAATGGTTCTCTTTTGTAAGGACAGTCTTAACTCTACTTGATTCAAGCTAGTTATGGATCATGTTATATGTTATTCGATAAGTAGTACACCGCTAAATATTCAGAAGAGAAGTAATGTTTGAGCATTATGTTACGGAAACTTCGTATGAAATTATATCCAAAAAATAAATCATATACGATTAACGAATGTATATAACATATATATAATTTACGTTTTATTAAAGTGAAACTTTTTTTACTTATCAACAATAGAAGAAAATGATATAAGTAGAACAAATTTTAGATTGTCACAAAATGCAAAAGTGATTTAAAGGGGAGTGGTTAAAGTGATGATGCATGGCAGTAGAAAAAAAAATATATAAAATTATAAAAACTACACTGTGACAAGTGAACTAAAGATTAAATTTGATATCAGTTAATTAAGCATAATATGCGAGTTAAAGAAAGAAAACAAACTTACATTTCATTAGAACTCCTTTCATACTGCTGATCGAGGTGTTTATATCTATGGTGTAGTTATCCCGAAGACAGTAATCCAATAAACACTTGGTATGACTAAGGCACTGAAGTACTGAGTTCATAAAACACTAAACAAGTATATGAAAGAGCATTATATTTTTAAAATGACAGCATGTCAGCAATGCCAAATAATATTTTTACGCTAGCAAAAATACCCGCACATGAGTACAGACAAATAATAAACTGGACAAAATAAACGTACTTTAAATTGAATAATGTTGCGACAATCTGAAATTAATTGATATTTTTTTTCTTATGCACATGCTTCAGTTGTGGGTTTTGATCAAAGAAGTTATGATCTTGTTACACTAACTCACAAAAAAGCTCATCCATAATATAGATTTTTTTATAGAATTATATATATATCGTAATTCTGTCAGCTCCTGAATACATTGAACTATTTAGTAATGCAGGAAGAAATGGATAGTGAGTGCAATGTTATGAAACAAGATCTTGTGTAAAAAGTGAGAATGACATTATAAAGCAAGCTTTCATTTACAAAAACTGCTAATTCTAAAAACCAAACCTCTAAAGTTATTGTAAGATATTTAAATAACGTAATTAAGACAATAATTTAGAAGATACAAGACAGAACGAAGTTCATTAACCAGAGAAAAATAATAAGTTTCCTGAAATTAATTTAACCTTTAGAATCAAGAACACTCGTCAATTCATTTACAGGAATATATACTTCGAAAGGGAAAAGGTTATAAAGAATAGTGTAAAAGCTTAAGTCATCATCTTGTAGAATATAGAAACGTATCTTGTGAATTTATTTACTTAGAACAAACAAATTTGGTGTGACATAACATTGACCAGCCTACTTTTATGAGAATGGGATGAAGTTGAATAACTTCGAGCAACAGAATGCTAGTCATCTACCAAAAATGTATGTTATACTTAAATCTGTCTTGCTTTATACTATTTTCAACCTTGATCTTGAACAGTGGATATTGGAAAGTAGAAAGTAGACTAAGATCTAATGACCTTATTTCCCAACTGCAGTAAACAATAACTGTTGAGATCACTTTTCAGTGTTTTCACATCTTTCTGTATTGTCCGACAATAGGCTGAGCCGTATAGATTTTATCCATGGTTTATAAAAGAAGACAGTTGTATGTGGGGTAAATAACCTCACTATGTAAGAACAGGACATTTTTATGAAAACTGCAGACCAGCTACAACGTAATCTGATAGGTGTTTTAACATGTTGTGGTAAAAACAATATGGCTTGATTTACAAAAAGGTCACACAATTTACAACATGAGAAACTTCCGTAAACGATATAATGGATTAGAAATACATCGATACTTTAAGTGCGATTAAACTCTAAGAACAAACTGTGTTTTTCTTCACACACAATTCATGCTGTAGATATAACGGAATGCTACAGAAACAGATAGCTTACGAATTTAATACTTTTGGTTATTCTGCTAACTTAGATAGTCATGTATGACATCATTTATGAAACTGTTGAGGATCCATTTTGCCCAAACTCTTCCTAATGTTGTCGAACCCTTTAAGTGGAAACTTCTAGTTACTTGTGATTTTATAAGCACAATGTATTAGGATTAAAGTATCCATGAGTCTATAACGCTAAAAAAACGTGTTTCCATAACCGCGGTAGGCACAGGACAAATAGTCCATTGTGTATCTTTGCGCTTTACAAAAAACAAAGTGTTGAATATCGTGCAAAGGGAAAGGCACCACCAACTCTTGGTTACTCTTTACTAACGAAAAGTGTAATTGACCATCACATTATAACGCCCCAGCTGCTGAAAGAGCAAGTACACTCAGTGATAGCTTGCGGGTCCCGCGACCCGCAGATTGTGAATCGAAGTCCTATCCAACAGGCCATAACAGGCCTATATATCGAACATTATGGTTTAAAGGAAAAAATTGACTTAGAATTTAGTTTGTTATATAACTTACGTACTAAAGTCCTTGACCACAGTGCTGCTCCTGCTGTAATCTATAGTTCTTCTTGTTCAAAGTCTCTTTAATTTAACTTTGTCCAGTCATACCTTTATAATCTTCACATATTTCTTTCTTAATCAGCACAGTGACGGCGAGTTAAATCCTGCAGATCTTATTTTATTATAGTACTAACTTACCTGTTAGAACTTCTCTAAACAATATTCCACACTATCTTAAAATGTAGACAATTATACTACTTTTACCTAGAATAACCAGTCCGAAAGCTTGAAATTGGAAGTAATATTTGGCTTAGACTCCTAGACTATGTTTTGAAGTAAGGTTTTGATAAGCGATTTATGAAGTTTTCTGTGGAAAGAAGTGATTTAGTTTAATGTTTTTTTTTGTTTTTTTTATGGTATTCTACTTGTGTTTCTATTTTGTAACTAGACGGACCATTCTACATAAATTTCGCAATTAGATTGTGACAATAAGGAGGGAGGAGGATGTTTAATAAAAGGAAGAAATGAAAAAATAATATAAAATGTTACGAATAAACTTAAATTTAAACATGTATTGTTGTATGAATTTCAGGACTTTTAAAATTGTAGCTTTATATTATGATTTTTGATATGACAGGTTATTTTTACGATGTTTACTTAGTTTTTGAATTTCCAAAAAGTTAATCTGATGACAATGTTATATCAACACATTACGATAAACTTACTTTAGCACAGTTTAGGAGAATACAAAATCTTCATTAAAAAACAATTAAATATAAATTTTTGAAATACTCTAAGTGTTTAAACATTAAAACAAAGTTTTAAATTCTAAGGACTTTATCACTATTAATTATCTATCAGTTTCAAAAACGTTTATTAAACTTTGAAATAAAGTAACATTCTATTACAAAAGTTTTAATATGTTAGTCATCTGAAGCTTTTTGCTTTATTGCAACAAGTTAATAATAAAAATTTGTTCATTGAATTTAAGTTTAAAATAAAAAAATGAGTTCAGTGTACTAAATTAACTCAATTAAGATGTTATCAAGCAAAACATTTATTTTTAGCAGTAGTGGCGCTAGGCATAAGCAGACTAAGCAATTACTTTTTAAAAATAATTAATACAAGCTATCCAAAACCACATTAATCAGTAATGACCAGACGTTTAAAAACTGCAGTGGCGTGCACAGGGGATTACTAGGTGGGCTTAAACCCTTGCCCTTATGCTCCAAAAGTGCCTTATGTTCTCTGTCACAAACAATTGTCAACGACTACTAAAAAGATACGCCTGAGTTGACACTTTACTTGTTGCGAGTTATTAGGTAGAAAAAGATTTCAACCTTAAAATGAATGGAACACAGGGAGTTGTAAGTTTTTACAGAAACATAATAACAATATGCTATTAAGTATTAATACGCAATAATTCAGTGTTTAGTTTTAAATTTTAAAAGTGTTTATAAGACCAAGTGAATGGGAATAAAAGACCGGCCACGAAGCGACGGGATGGTAATGAGTAATTGGATGTATGGAA